ATCTTCTTTCGCCCTCCTTGATCTATGGAAACTATATCATACTGTGTACTTTTAAAGGAAGAAGTATAATTAATAATAATATCTGGCATTTATATAATGCCTGCCTCCTAAGGATCTCAAAGGCCTTTATAATGAACAGTGAAGATAGCACATCCACTAACAGCTTGTGCTGTAATGTTATCTTATTGTTCAATTGCTGTTTTGTTTTGAAATTATGTTGTTATATCTGATTGGCAAGTGATTCCATAGGAAGTTTTAGGGCAGGCCTACACTTAAAACGCTGCATTGGTGCAGCTGCACCTCTGTAGTGCTTAAGACGCTCCTACGCCCATGGGAGAGCTTTTCCTGTTGGTGTAGTTAATCCACCTCCCCAAGAGGGGAAGCTCTCCCATTGACATAGTGCTGGGAGGATTAGGTCAGTATAACTATGTAGTTCAAGGGTGTGGATTTTTCATACCCCTGAGCAACACAGTCTGTATATAGTCCTGCCTGGGGTACCAGAGTTGTTCCTTGCAATGTCCCAATATGTCCTTTGGTTGCTATAAGCGAATATTACAACTGATACTTCAACATGGCAAAAGCACTTTTGCCTGAGAAGCAATTTACTGATTATGCAGATGAGACTGGAATTTGCGAGTACTTGACAGACTTTGAGCTAATGATCACTGTGATCAAGTGCACTGATAAGAAAACAGCATAGTACCTAGGTGTTTTAGATGATGATGTCAAAGCCTTTTACCAGCAGATTCCTAGTGTGGATCATGGATCTTATACACAGTCATGCAAATTTTTATAAGACTACTGAGGGGGGATTGCCCTTTCTGAAATACTAGGAAGACACAACATGTGATGTACCTCATCCAGTGCACTAAATGCCACTATAACAACTATGTGGGTAAAACCAATCACTACGCTCTTGAATTAACTCACACAGGAATATGATAAAAGACAAAAACACCCTATCACCTGTGGATGAACACTTTTCCCAAGTGATCACTCTGTATCTGATCTATCAGCCCTCATCCTCAAAGGAAACCTGCATAACACTTTCAAAAAACGAGCCCGGGAGCTTAAAACGCATAACTTAGCTAGACACTAAAAATCATGGTCTTTATAAAAACCCTGGATTTATGGTTTATTACAAGAATCTGTAACTCACTAACACCCCTTGGGTAAAGATGGTCTCGTTCACCCGGTGGTTAACAGGCCACTTCACTTTGAATGGTCCCTTAGTTTAGCACAGGCGTCAGCAACCTTCGGCACATGGCCCATCAGGGTAATCCAAAGGCGGGCCACGAGACATTTTGTTTACATTGACCATCCCCAGGCCAGCCGGTCGCAGCTCTCAGTGGCCACGGTTCCCCATTCCGGGCCAATGGGAGCTGCAGGAAACAGCGGCCAGCATGTCCCTGCGATTACAAATGTGAAAACAGACAATGGAGTTAGTGGAGTTTCCTTAAAGGTATGAGCTGTTAATTCCCAAGCACAGGGTGACTCCTTTATACCAGGTGCAACTTGGTGGGCTGAACTGCAACACTACATGTTTCCTCAACGCAGCCGTAATTGTCTCAGTCCTTTTATCCTTCAGTGACTGCACCACCATATACTTTGAGGTGTCATATACAATCAGCAAATATCGATTTCCAGCTGGTGTTCTTGGTTGTTGGCCTTTCAAGTCAACCTGTATGAAATCCCAAGGTTTACAAGATTCGGGCATTTCCTCTAAAAGAGTTTTTGCCATACTTGTGTTTGTGGTTGCTTGGTGACTGGTATATATCCATATTTAGCAACACCATCCTTTTTAGAAGAAGACTTTCCGCCATTTTCTATTTAAAAATGTGTGCTCCCATCAGCAACAGTGAAGTACTTACAATTATGGTGCAATTACATTTCTGCAGTGATGGAAACCCTTGTAGCTACATAGTGCTTGGTCTTGATCCTTTTGAAGTCAATGGCAAAAGTACCAATGACTTTAATAGTGCAGGATCAGACTGACACAGAATAAAAGGGTCTTAGTGGCTGTGAATTTGGAATGTCGAATTATTTTTTAACCTGAAATTGTATATGGTGCAATCTAGATTCTACTGAAGGGACCATGAAAGATTGAAACTAGATTCATAACCCATTAGTAAATTATATCTCCTGGGAATATAGGTGCCTATGAGAATTAATTCTGAAAGAAAATTTTATCTGAATACTTAATTAGGACAAAAAAAAATCCTGTGTTAAAAATTGATTCAAGAACCAATTCTGCAATCTCTTCTCAGGCAAAACTCCCACTTACATCTAAATGCCTTTTTCTCCAGGTAAGGATTGCAGGAGAGAGACCACTATGTTACATTCACTTTTCCCTTTTGTTTCTTTAATTGTCCTGTGACTGTTAGCTATTCATGCCTCCACTGTTCTGAAATGTTTAAAGATAATGATACATTCCGCATTCAGTTCTTTTATGCTTTTTAAATAGATGTAACAAGAATATTTATTCTGAATAGGATTGAATTAAGGGCCTGATTCTGCTCCCATTCAATTTTGCCAAGAACTTCAATAGGAGGAGCAACACAATTAACAAATAATCAATAGAAGCTACACTGATTTACACCAACTGAGGTGTAGCCCAAAGACACTCTTGATAGAAAAAATAGCAAAATCTCATGTAGTTAAGCTATATGAAGAAAAGAAGAGAGGGAAGAGAGACCCCATAGAGCTAGTAAAGAATCCAGGATTCTTTCATTCTGTTCATTTAACCACTCCTGTTATTTGGCTCTTTCAGAATATGACTAAGGATTTAGGTCTCTGACTATGGCCCTGGCAAGGCTGAGGAAAATAAAATCAATAATTTTGCATTCAGCAAATTCATATATAGGAAGTAAAGATGGTCTCGTTCGCCCGGTGCTTTATTCTCTAAGACCAGAATGAAGATGATTAAATAGACCACTGGTCTGATACTTGCATTTAGGAATATAGGAATTGCCATACTGTAAGAAAAATGTAAGTCTGTCCATCCAGAGAAGGCTGTCTTTATTGTAAGAAAATCAGTCATGTAGCCATATAACAATGGAAAAAAGTATCCAATCCTGCAACGCGCTGAAGGCTTCACAGGAGATGCTGAGTGCCCTCAGCAAACACTTTAGACAAAAGTATTTTTATTAGATATAATAAGGGGACTAGGGAGAAGAACCACAATAATAAAAAGCCTGAAAGTTTAAGGTCCTATCGGTCCCATTTGTTTAGGGTCCTTGACCTTTAACAGAAGCATTGTATCTGATTAGATTGGCAACACATCCGGGAACTACATTGCAGTTACACAAAGAGAAAGGCAGTAGTTAAAAAACCTCCAGTGATTTTTAGTCACCCTCATAATCTGTTTCTCCAAACACTGGGAAAATATACAATAAAATGGACTATTCTTGAAAATGGCCAGTCCTATTACCATTGAAGTTAATGAGAGTTTTGACTTTTTTCCACAATGAAAACAGGATGGGGCCTTAAAATGGAATAACTAGCTATACATTAAAACTATCTTAGGACTTAAACCATGGAGCCACACAAACATGTTGCCATTCTAAGAACTATCCATTCATGTAGAAGTCGAAGCTCTGAAATAATGAGCCCATTTCTGTTTAAATACAGCATGTGTCAATTCGCTCCTTTTTGAAGGCATATTCCGATGCTTCAAAGTTAATGATCATAGTGACACATGCTGGCTGTAGCAGGGAAACACACCACTATGGAGATTCCCCTTTAAAAAGCCCTTCAGTGACTATTAGATTTTGGATCGATTATCTTATTAATGCAAAAGTGACAAAGAATTTCTATTCCCACATTATACCTCTCTCAAATTACAACTGCTCTCTCTGGGTAGCACTACCTCTTGCCTGTTGCACCAGAAATCGTTTCAGAACAGAGTAAAAACTCCTAACCCAACAAATGATGCGAACAATCAATCCTCTATGTTTTAAAACTGCAGAGTGATGCCGGGCTTTATTCTCACTCCACCATATGTTGAACCAGCTTCCCTGCTCCTGTTTAGCCACATTTAAAAAGCACATTGTAGCAGCTTTCAGATGACAGACCTACTTTCAAACATCCACCTTTCAGGTATTTTTTTTTTTAAATGAAGGCTGAGATTTCTTTCCCTCAGAATTTAATTCTGGTCAGCAGCTTGATTTAAAATCCCATGACATTTTAAAACTATAATTAAAAATTCATTTGAAAATTAACAGGTATAGACAAAATAACCCAACCCAATGAGTTCAAATGATCTTTTTATCATTATTATTTCATTAAAAATGAGAACTAGATTACACATTGGTTTTATTATTTTGGAATTAAGACCTGAAATTTATTTATTCAAACTGTGACAAGACTACTGCTTCTCTCCTTTGGCTGTCATAGGAAATAATCAGATTTTTTAAGACCTGGCCAAAATTCATTCATTCTTTCTCTCTTACAATGGGTGCAACATTACAGTTCAAAGGGGACCCTTTTGTTCCCTGCAAATGTTCATGTTTTTAGCCCCTTGCCTCAAGTCTCTGGACTGTTCATTTCAGCATTTTGGTCTATTCACATAAAACTTTCAGTGAGTATTTTCTTAGCTAGAACTGGAGCTTAGTTTAGCGTTTTCCAGCTAAATCAATTGCCCCCAGCTCAGAAGAGTGTGTTGTTATTATTCATTGCTCCCCACGACTCACAAAATAAGCCATCTGCCATCATCGTCCCTGCCGTACATTAATTAAGTTTCCATCAATCAAAAAAAAAACTGGGCAAGAGAGTGAAAGAAAAGCAGGCAGGGAGAGAGAGAAAAAAATAAACATGATGCTTAAAGAGCAGAAAGCAACCTTGCTGTTAAAAATGGATCATCTGTGCATCATCCCTCAGGAATAGCGTCAGCCATCAAGCTAATGCAAAAGTTCAGTCAAACACATTTGCCAGCAAGTTCAGAAATTATTCAAATGGCCTTGGTTGACCCCAGCCTGGAGTATAGGAAAGATGCTCGATACCTTGGAAGAGAAATGCTTTGCTCCCATTGTGCAGCCCTTGGACCTGCAGCACTCCAGCTATGGAATTTCCCAGCTGCAATTCTGACAGCACGTCAATCTGCAGCGAGGGGTCCACACCAAACCCTAAAACTGACCCAGAAATGATTAGTTACTCCATTTGCCGAGCATTTAACTTTTCGACAGCGTGAAGAAACAACAAAGAGAACAAGTCGATTAATCCCCTAGCTCCTTCATAGCCTAGTACCTGTAATCAGCAGCGCCTGGGAGAGACAAGCACTCAGCCCGACTGACATGACCTACTTTAACATACATCTCGCCATAAAGTTCCATTTTGACTCAAAAAGCTACAGGAGTTTCCGCCAGAAAATTCATGTGAGTTCCCCTCCCAGACTGCAGTGAAGAGAGAGATCGCACTGGCTGCTCTAATTCCATCTGTTTCTTCCTAGATTTTGGGGAGAGTTGTGGGATTTGGGAGATGGGGAGGAGGGAAGGTTGGTTGGTTTTTCCTCTTAATCTCTCTGTCTCTCTCTTTCTTCATGCTGCTTTTCAAAATTCTGGGCTTCCACTTACCTGATCTCAGACAGAGGAGAAAGCAGAAGGTGCTTAACCAACTCGTGGACTCCATGGTACGGAGCTAGTCAGTCCATATTCCTCCTTTGAAAGCTGTTGGGAGCAAAATCTCAGAGCCACGCACCCGAGCCGCCTCCTCTTTCAATAGAAAGCTCGGACCCAACAGGCGAGCGAGCAACTTAGCCTCCCCAGTGCGCACATCATTCCTGAACCCTGAGCAGCCGCCGCCCCAGCCCGGAGCCTGCTCGCCCCACGAGCCAGGTGCTGCTGCCTGAGCACACGGTGAGGCGAGCGATACAAGCCAGCCGGAGCCGACCAATGGAGCGAGCCGGCGGAGTGAGAAGCGCAGCCCGGTCCCGCCGCCAGGCAGAGACAATGGAGAGCCTAGCGGGCTGCGAGAGGATAAATTGCTCCTCTGGGGCGGGGGAGGAGGATGAGACGCTCCTGTGGCCCTTGCTCCCACGGGCTCTGTCTCCAAGCCTCGCCGCCGTTACCAAGCGCAGCTCCTGGGCTCACGAGCAGCTGGCGCCGCCGCCTCCCCCTCGCGGGCTCCCGCTGGAGCTCCAGTCTCCTCCCCAAGATCGGAGGGGGACACTCGTGGGGCGGCGGGGGGGCTGGGCGCCCTGCCTAGCCTTGGGCCAATAGCTGCAGGCAATGGGGGTTGTCCGTCCCCTTCCCCGCGTCTCAGCTCCCCCAAGTACGCTGCTAGATTAATGCCGGGAGCCCCAGACTTCCCGGGTGCTGCCTAAGATGGGGGCCCTCCCAGCTGCCCCATCCACCCCCTTAACAGGGATCCTCCCTGTCCAAGGGTGGGGAGCCCCAGCTCCCATCATCAGAAAGGAGCTAATGGGCAGAGAGATGGGGAGCCTCAGTTACCCCTCAGCACTCCCCACGTAGGGGCTAATGGGCAGAGGGATGGAGTAATCAGTTACCCCTCAGCACCCCACCCCCATCTAGAGCTAATGGATTGAGGGATGGGGGGGCCCAGTTATCCCTCAGCACCTCCCCCACCTGGTGAATCATGGGCAAAGATAGGGATACCAGTTACCCCCCAGGATACCCCCAACCTAGGGGCTAATGAGCCGAGGGATGGGGAACCCCAATTACCCTTCAGCACCCCCCCACCTAGGGGCTAATGGGCCGAGGGATGGGAGATCCCCAGCATCCCCCCAGCTCCCCTCTCTGCACCCCACTGGCCGAGGAGCTAACAGGCAGTGGCGTGGGATGGGGGATCCCATCAATATAGGGAACATCGGGATGATCTCCGTGCACCTCATTAAGGGGAAGCCTGTGTGGGCCCCTGGTGTGTAGGGCAGGGAGAACGCACTTCTCCCCTGCAGAACCCCACTGGGCCTCTAGCTAAGGGCAAGGCGGCAGGCAGCCCTGCCTTCAGCAAGGGTGGGATTGTGGCTTCCTGAATGCTCTGGAAATAGCAGGTGGCGTGGGGGTGTGAGTGGGAGCCATAAGAAAGAAGTAGGGCCGGTGCAACCCATTAGGTGACCTAGGCAGTCGCCTAGGGCACTACAATTTGGGGGGTGGCAACCGCGGCGGTATTTTGGTGGTGGGACCTTCCACTGCCTCTGGGGGGGCGGCATTTCGGGGCGGGACCTTCCGCTGCCTAGGGTGGCAGAAAAGCTGGCAGCACTCCTGGAAAGAAGGTGCGGGTTCATCCTGTGTGAGGAGCAGGAGCTGTCCTGGAGGGGCCTGGCCCAGGCAGGACGGGTGAGGCGCTGACATGCCTCTTCCATGACAGCGTGCGAGATTCAGAAAAGTCCATTTGAACTTTTCTAATGGGAACCCTTCTAGAGAAGCGAAGCTTCTTCCAAGGTGGGCTGCTGCAGCAAGAGGGACACTGGCAGGGGGCTCAGCATCCCTCTACCTCAGGTTACAGAGGGGGTGAGGCACATACCCCGCATGCCTCCCAGGGAAAATTGTGTGGAAGTTTCCTATTAAAATACCCTACTGAAAAGTCTCCGAGGTGTGAGAATGCTGGTGAATAACAATCTCACACCAAACAACGCAAACTGTCATTTCCCCATTGGACGAGGGCTGCTGATCTTTTAATAAGCTCTTGTACCACTTACTGTTTGATAGTGATGCTGCTTTACCACTTTATTTCATGTTCTTGTTGGGAACTAGTGTCAAAATATTAAAGTAAGAACCCTAAGTACTATTCCAATATATCATTTTTTAGGCTCGGGTGGAGTCTCGGATTGATCTTTGAGCACAAATAATAATAATAAAAATCAGACATCTCCAGTAATTAAATAAAACTTGCGTATGAAGTGGCACATCAGCCAGTGCAGTGATCTTTCAGTGTAAGGGATAAACTGGTATCCAAACTGGATTGCCAGAGGGTAATATTACAGATGAGTATATTACATATGCTCCCCCAACAAAACTTCCACACGTGAAGATAGGTATGATGAAGTGCCTACCCCACCCAGCTGTAGAGGGGTTAATTATGCCCTGCCCCAGAAAAAGCAATGGAGATGAGTCCTCCAAACGGCCCAGAGATGCTGCATGAAGCACAGCCAATCAGGGAGGAGTTGCAGGAAGCAACCAATCCGGGCCTGGCAGGCTCCGATAAAAGGGACCAGCAGGGCAGAGTACGTCAGTTGGAGGGCAGAGAGAACCATAAGCACCTTAGACAGGAAGTGGTTGGCTGCTGGAACTGAGCAGCTGAGTACCTTGAGGTGAGGGCGAAGAAGGTGCTGGGGCCATGGCGAAGTGGCCCAGGGAAATATAGCAGCATTAACAGGGGTTACAGAGGAGCAGCAGAAGGCTGCTATTCACAGGGTCCCTGGATTGGGGCCCAGAGTAGTGGGCGGGCCTGGCCCCCTCCTCTCACTCGCCACTAGGGAAGTGGCTGGACTGTTGGACAGAGATACACACCCCCACCTGGCAGGGGGAAACACAGATAATGACCGACCTGGAGGGCTGAGCTGCAAAGAGGATGCTGCGGTTCTGGGAGCTGAGAGAGGAGCCATAGGCAGGAGCAGAGAAAATGCTGGTGCGCAGCCCATGGACATGGGTGTCAGCCTCGAGCTAATCCCCAGCATGACCAGGAAGAGGCACCAGTCTGGTGATGAGGGCCGCACCTTGTGACAACAAGATTTTTGTTGGCCACTGCCTGTAGAAGGATGAACCTTAAGTTCATACAAAGGTTCTGTTTCCAGCTCAGAAACAAACTTCCCTTGTGCAAGATATTTACATTTCCACATCTTTGTTGCCACATCTCTAAGTGGGGGTAAGAACAGTTATTTGCCTTTGTAAAACTGTCAGTGAAAGAAAAAAGTGCAAAATATTATTAGTTTATCAAATCTTACAAACTCTCCACCATTTTATGATTGCTGCCAATGTCACATTCATGTCTATGGCATTTTACAGTCATCTGTGACATTTTTTCATGCCTAAAAACCAGCCTTTTACTAATCACAAAATAGCACCAAAGAGTATCGGGGGTTTTCTTTTTTGCTCAGAGGTCACCATGGAAGTCAATGGCAAAGCTCTCATTGAGATCAGATCCAAAGCAGTGAAAAAAGTAAAGTAATGAGAACTGCTCACATCAAGGGAAATCCACTCCTCTTCCATGAAGCCTGAGTAAATAGGTTTTCTGAATATGCAGTGCAGGAGGGTTGGAAAGGTGAAATCCAAACCAAATCCAAAAGAGCTGTAGCACAACACCCATTTGGCCTGTACTACAGCCCATACAACCTCTAATACAGTCACAGACCTTCTGCCCTATTTGCTCAAGGTATTGGTCCCATTGCATCCACATTGCATCTATATTCAAATGTATATTTCACTTAATCTTCAAATCACAGAATAGGTCCAGTGTGGGAATCCTGATGATTTTCAGTTCACTCAAGAGGACAGAAAGAACAGCTGCCTGGTAGTGAGTGTCCTGTGGTCATGGTCATTTGAGACTCTCATATCCTCATGGATGTCTCTTACACAAAGCCTTGAAATCTCATGTCCATTTTATCAACCATGTTATTCTCTCTGGTCCAGCAATGATCTATCTCCATAACTGGTCATACAATACACCAGATCGTCACCCGAGGAGTAGACATAAGAGTCACTAATATTCCTTCCCTATCCTACCTAGCAAGATCATCACCTCCTCCACAATGAAGTCAAAGCTCTGCCTCCAGCCCATCGAAGTGAGGGAACAACACTCGTGGCTTGACTCTGGAGACATGAAGCCAACAAGCTTCCAGAGCAACCTAAATGAATATGCTGTATAGCCACAAGATCTGGGAGCTGATGGACTAGTAAGACATTACAACCACTGGTTGCCCAAAAGTATAAGTGCACTGGCTTCTCTCTTCCTAATGCAATCGCGGTGTTTGGTAGATTAACTGAACCAGAGCAGTACAGAGGAAAGAAATTTAGAGTAATAATGGTGCAAAATGTAAACCAAACCCAACACTGGTGCTAGCCATGCTGGTGAACAATCTCCTTTTAACCATGAACTATGCTTATATATTTGAATCTGCTAGTAGCCTTTGAATGTTCCAACATGAGATGTTCCTGACTCGAATGAGAGACATGGCAGAAGTGGGTGGAGTCACACTGTATTGACTTTGCTCCTTTCTGTTGGGTAGATTCCAGAAAGTTACGATGGGTGGCTACTCCTCATCATCTCACCTATATGTGGAATCCCACAAAACTCAATCCTCTCTACCCTTCCTAATCAATATATATGTTAAACCTATAGAAGAGACTGTAAGAAATATGGAGTCCAATGCAAACACTACACAGATTATGCCTCACTGCATTTCCTTTGCATTAAATGTAGTCAGAGCCATAACTCAATTATCCCAATAAATAGGAAAATAAGCACTTAGAACAGGAGATTCTGTCTGAAACTAAACCCAGAAAAGACAGGTGATGTTGGTGGGTAGAGAGAAGTGTTCTGAAGAATTGGCCAGAGCTGTCACATACACTTCTATCCATCTGATCATCAACTTCCCTCTGATCATCATAGAAGTGCATGGTTCTCAATGTCTTCTTGGACTCATCACTATCTAAACATCCAGAAACTTTAGTGAAAGTAGACAAAAATACTTGTTTCCATTTTCAGTTGGCCAGGAGGATGTTCTCTTTCTAACTGGATGCAGTCCTGGCTATGGTGATTTACATATTCATTACAG